CACAGGATTCCAGCAGGCTGAGCTGAAGATCATTAAATTAGCAGATGAAAAGACTTAGAGCTGAAAGAGGTGGTAAGAAAGCCTAAATTTTCTGCCAATTTTCTGGAATTGACAACCTCTTTAAGCTAGAGATGAGAGAACATATTATCAACACAATTAAATGAAAAATAAATCCATTGTGCTATTTAGAGGAGAAAAAGAAAGAAAACATTTGCATTCATAAAGCAATTCTTAACCATTATAATTTGCTACCTCAGGTTTTAGCTGCCTGAAGTTTAGAAATTTTCAGTTAAATCAAATTTCGATATTAAATCTGCCCTGGTGTCAGGAGTTAAGCCTTCTAATAGTCACTTTTTTCCTTTTATAATTCTTTTACAATGTGTTATTTTTGGATCTAACTAACATTTTCTAACTGACTTGAGTCAGAAACCATCTGAATTTGTCAAATACCATCGTAATGTGTCGATTGTGCACGTGCTGCTTCCCACCCACTCCCCCTCTCCCTGTGTCCAAACAAATGTGTGTCTCAGCTTAGAGATGAAAAGATGGCTTTTCTCATAAGATTATGGCCTCATACATTTTGTCCTTATTGTACTCCTGTTAGTATAATGCTCTTGACAAAACCTCTGCTCTCAGGCTTTGGGACTTAGAAGATTTAATGCACAGCCTGTGATTGCCTTTGGGAAGTGCCATGCATGTCTTGCAGTCTTGAATACTCGGCACGAGGTCAACAAGGTTTGGAGGTTCTAAACATCATCTGGGCCTTTCTCTGTGTTCATCTCTGTGTTCATGTCTGTGTTTCTTTTGGGGCTGTCCTTACTCTGACTTTCAGGCCAGCAGTCCTGGGCCACAGGGTTCCCTCAGGCTCTCAGGACGGGGTTGGTTTCCCTCGGCCGTGCTCAGATGCTCTCGCGCCTGGAGCGTTTGCAGAGGGAGCACAGAGGGGCCCTTTCCTGGCACGGTTCTTCCACTGCATCCCAAGACCTGTGAGGACAGCCTTGGGTGGGACAGACCAGGAAATGTCCTGTGGACAGTGCAGACAAACTGTAATGGATCAACCTCGAGCTGCAATAAAGGAAGATGAATTGCCTTATCCTAGATGGTATAAATTAATATAGTATGGGTTTATATGAATGACTAATAAATTATAGGAAGGGAGCCAGTTTTGAAAAAGACAAACAGCCCACAGCATGGGTTTAGTTATGTCTTAACTAAATGTGTTTGAATTCATGCAAACCTTCTACTGATTCCAGCTTCCACCCAGCTAGGGAAATGCAAGGAAATGGGAGACAATAAATGCTTCCAGAGAAGATCTTTTGTGAGGAAGACAAAACCTTTTTTTTTTTTTTTCCCTAGTTTTAGAGTTAATATCTGTGTGCTACAACTTAATATGCTTGAAGAGGGAAAAGTTGTTTTGTATGATTCTTACCTGCTGATTATCCAGCTTATTTGCTCATTTGAGCTTAACTGGCTGTGTAGTGCTCTGCTTTTTTAGTTCCTGAAACTTCACATACAAATCTGTGTATAGATCTCTTCCATCATCTTTAGCAAACGTAAACCAAAGAAAAGTAGCTTGCCTATCACTTTACTTTATAGAATGCAGTGAATTTGTAAACACTGTTGAGAAGCACTGAAATATTTCTTAACCATTCTTACCTTTTCCATTTTAAAGGTAAAATGAAAAAGTCCCATCTTATGTAAAACTTTAAAGAATTCCAGAAAGGATACATGTTAATATTTAAAATCTCGTAATTATGGAACTTTCTCAATAATGTGAATTCTGTTTTTCTTTTCTAATTAAACATACAGTTTCATATAGCCTGAAATAGACAGCATGGTAAAAGGTTTTTGTTGTGGTGTTTAAATAAATGCAGTGTAGCACTATTATGTTTTTGGAAACCTAAAATATGACTCATATATCCTGAAGAATCAGTAGCTCAAATAAGGCAAGACAAAACACTTTTTAATTTTGAAAATTCTCTTCTTTTGAAAACACTGCATAGGGATAGGAAAATAACAGAGATTTGAGAGCTGTGTTAACCTGTGGATAAAGACACTGCATAGGGATAGGAAAATAACAAAAATTTGAGAGCTGTGTTAACCTGTGGATAAACACTGGCTTGAACCAGTCTAATATTTTGTAGTCGTCCTTTTGGCTCAGAGTAAGAAACTTGAAGTATTCATTGATCATGTTACATATGAAGGTTTTTCCTTCATAATCTATTATTTTATGAAAGCCTCTAGAGTGGTTTCTGCACTTAGTTCTATGGCAACATTTTACCAGCCTTTAGCAGGGAGAATATAAACACCCCCCCAGCCACAACACCAGCTGCTTATTTCAGGATTAGATATTTATTATTTTAAAGCAAGTATCCAAAACAGTGCAAAAGGATCAATAATTTTCATGATGTGAAAATATTTGAAGAGAGATAGTCTGATGCAAAAGAATTGCTTTGCATTCCTGGAGAGCATGGATGTTTTCCATTATTAGTAACATTTCCACACCACAGGTCACACAAAGCTTATATAACCATAGTTTTTACATATGGGGATGTATCTCCAAAATTCATCTCCAAGATAAGAGCTTGCAAATAATCTGATACATTATTTTGTTTTGCTTTTGCTTTATTGTTCTTTTCCTCTTCCCAATACCTGTCTCTAAGGTCTAAACTGTACCATTTGTTCATAATATTCTTTTATTCCCCCCCCCCCCCCCCAAATATAATTTAAGGAATGATGTTGCTTCCACTCATTTGACTGCTGTTATTGCTCACTGGACACCAACTGGATGAAATCTAAGGCTGGTAGAATTGCACTCACTGTATTCTGAGAGTTCCTTAAAAAGTGCCATCAAAAGTATTCCCTAGGAATCAGTAAGAGGAAAGTTTTGGTGCTTTTTGTGTTTATTTGCTTGTTTACTTTTTTATTTGATTGTTTTTTTAAGTGCTTAGACCATTAACAGAATCAGGAGGAATGAAAAGCATCTGGTACTTGAAATTTGAGTTGCATAAGGAGTTCCCTTTTGATGTGAGTTCATTTTTACTGTCTCATTGTGGTTCAATTGCATCTGCCTGCAGTAAGACATCTCTTATGTCCTTTGGCTCAGTGCAGCCTGTGTCCCTCTGAGCCTGTGAACCACACCTGAGTGCCACTGGAGCACACTGGTGTGTCTGCATGCTCAGGCAATTCACGTATTCCATTAATAAATACAGAATACTTCAACTGCCCTGCAAAACAGAATCCCAAATGCCAGAAAAAGCTCTGAAATTGCATCCATCACTTCTCATTTTTCAACATCGACAAGACTTTTGGCCTTCATCTATTACATAAACTCACCAATCTCTCCTCTGGCTCTACAGTCATTACAAAATAAAGAGATTTGAGATCCCTGTTTTCCATTTCACCTTTCCCTGACACATCCCCAGTTTAATCTTCCTGTTGCTTAGTTATTGCAAAAATGGGCAAAACCCGCTACTGTGAAGATAAGTATGCTTTCTTCTGAGAGAAGATCTATTGCAACATAGGAATGAACTCAAAGCTCCCAGATTAGTGCTAGAATATAAAATAATTCAGCTTTAAAAGGATCAGTCTCCCAAGTCCACAGTTTCCTAATAGTTAAACAAAAAAGCAAGAAAGGAAAAGAATGAACTTCATTTTGCCATAAATATACTTGTATGCTTTTCCCAAATGGCCAGTGAAAAAATAATCTGTTAATTGCCCACTTTTACCTGTAGCCAGAGCCCTCTCTGCTGTCTCGGTGGGTTTTGCTGCTTTCTTCACAAAGGGAGAAACTTGAATCTCACTGATGTCTGGGGGTTTTACAAAATACAAGGCAGGAAAGAGTTCAGGGTTCTATGTGTGGATTTTGTTTGGTTTCATCATTCTTTTTATTTTTTTTTTTTTTATTTGGTTTCATGCTAAATGTCAACTCTCCATCATTGAGGTGATTTCTGTTAAATCAACAGGTATTTTCCTCAGCTTTTGGTACACACAGCTATATAATAGGTATAGAAATTACCTTGCATCTGAGTTTGGTGCAAATGGGGTAGATATTCTTTGGTGCAGTGTCCCTCTTGCCTGGGGGAGTACATTCTTCAAACTGAAATTCATTTATCTGTCACCACTGTGTTCCTTATGTAGGAGTTGCAGTGACATAACATTCAGATTGTGCCTGCAGGAAGAAAGCTCAATTTATAACCAGAGCAAAGATAAGCCTCTTACATTTTCCCCTTCCATTTCATTTTGTGTCTTCATCCTTTCCAGTCAATAGGAGATGGATGGTGAGAGGACTGTAAATGGAGAGGGTTCAGCAATAAGGCAATCTGATGGTGTAGTGTAGCCTCTTCTTAAGGTGTCTTTTTGTGTGATCTTCTTATGTGCTTCAAGGCCAAATATCCAAATGTTCAACAGCTGGATTTGAAGGACAGGATTTTCCAGAAAAACTTCAGATCCTCTGGTTAAATTGTGAAGCAGTGCAGACTTTTATCAGTAATTAAAATGAAGACATTTGTTTTCTCTACAATGTACAAAACACAGAAGTAATTGTAGGTATTGTTCCAAAAATCCAAAGTGAGAAGATGACCAAGAGCTGAGTGTTCTCGCCCACCCTTCTGCTTTGTGTCTTGTCAAGTTGGATTTGTGGGGATGCCCTTTCTCTTGTACCAGGGCTTTGCAACTGAAAGAAATTCCTTCAAAATTGTCTTAAACTAGTTAGGCTGACAGTCGAGAATACATTATAAATATTTTGAAAATCACCTTTTTATTTTGGTGTCTTAATTGGAGGGCTATCTAGAAGTGTTGGTTTCCTTATCAGTGCAGTACAATGTGCATGTCATTTTTCTTTTATATTTGAATGTTTATTCTAGGGATTTTGATAGTGGCTTTTGAGTAATACTATTAATATTGGAAGTGTGTTAAATAATTTCTCTTTATAGATAAAATGACCTGAATAGATATGAAACACAAACCAAATTAATTAGGCATGGTTTCTTCTCTTCTAGTGAATAAACACAAACCCTGGATTGAGACATCATACCATGGAATCATAACTGAAAACAACGACACTGTGATTTTGGACCCTCCCCTGGTTGCTTTGGATAAAGATGCACCTGTTCCCTTTGCAGGTAGGAATGCACATGAGCAGCAGCATTTGAGCCTGTGGACTGCATTTTGAATTTATTGGCATTTGTAAGGAAGGAATTTCTAGTGATATTTGAAGGGCACATGTAAAGGTTGTGTGTGAGTACTCAGAACCTGACTGTTGGCCCACAGATCCTGAAATGAGGTGTTTCCTACACTGAATTTGTTGTGAAGTAGAACAGAATAAAGAGAATAATACAGCAGGCACCCACTATAAATATATTTTTAATGAAAACACAATGATTACACAATTACACTTGGATTTGCTTTTATAGAAATTAATCATTGCAATTGCCTGAAGTAATAATACATAATGCAGTTTTTTATAAGAATTTTGTTCAGCAGTAACAGCCCCTGCTTTCTCTCTCCCTGTTCTGCTCCCTGGCTATGGACAAAATGTATAACAAATACTTAAAGTTGCTCAAATCATATCTTACTGTGTAAGCACTTTATAACTGTCAAGACTCAGACAGAAAATTTAATGGAATTTTTGAACACTTTTGCTCAGGTTGCTGTATGATAGATGTATGTCATATACAAGTTTGCATTTGTATTAAGTCTGTTTTACCTGACACTTTTTCTGTCTTGAGTCCCTTAAGCAGAATTCTGCTTGTCGAGCAAGTTCTCTCTTAAATTCCCTCTTTCATTAAAAATACTTTTTGAAGAAAAGAGGGAATAGTAAAGCTTGATAGCTACTATGAAGATCTTAAGATGGTGTAGTTGTTAAAAAGATGGTATTGTTTAAGAATCTTCACCTTTTCTAAGGAAAGGAAATGGTGAGTATCCTTGTTCTCAGGGAGTCTTCATATTCAGGAAGCAAAGTCCAAATTCTTGTCCCAAACAGCATTTTACAGCATCCTGAAAGAATTGTTCTCAGTCACTTTTCCCAAAAGCTTACACTGGCATCAGCTCCTACCCTGTCAAACCAGGGCTCCTAAATGTTTTTTATTTATTGACCCCCATTTTAGTATCAAGATTGTTTGTTGCTCATGGTGCCAAGTGATTCTTGGCTGCATGAAGATCAATTCCTAGTGAAAAGATGCTATTGTCATTTTTTACCACTATCAATGTGAGTGTTTGGTTCTTTTGCTTGCATTCCCTTAGGATCCTTCCAGGGATGTTAATCACGGGCTTTTGTCACGGACACTGCAAACTCTTTTGACTGGGAATTCATTAGCTTAATTATTTTCATCAGCTTTTACACTGGGAGAATCAACACATTTTTCATTAAATAGTGATTTATTTTTCATGTAGAAAACCATCCTTTGAAATACTGAACTTACACAGACAGAATGGCTTTTGTGATAAGGGTTACATTAGGCAGTAGTTTTAATTTAGCTTCTCGATTTATTGATTTGAAGTATTTATATTTTGAGAAGTATCTACTTCTTACAAGGATAAATACTTTCTGTGTTTTCCCTGGTATTAGTAGTTTATTTCCTGATAATATTTGGCCTCATGGTCTGCAGTCCAGGCATAATTTTATAGTACTGATTGAATCCTTCATTCAATTGAAGGGCCTGCATTCCCTATGTTTTTGGAAAAACCTCTATGCACTTTTGAAAAAAACTCCTGTCTTTTTAAATTGTTGGAGGAACTTACTATTTCTGTTGTAGTTTTTGATTTAATATCATGTACTTTTATTTGGTTTAAAAATATCCTTAATTTATTAAAGGTTTTTATGGAAAATTCAATTTGCATAATGTATTTAGTAGGAGAAACTGAAACAGATACAAGTACAATATTAACAATTTTCAGTAGCTGTACATTTTATAGTGTGTTAATGTGGACTATCTTTTATGGCCATAATTTATTTAAATGTGGACATTTCAGTTACATATCAGTCTTTAATTGTAATAGAGAGTCAGAGCTCCAACAGTTCCTTTATCATCAGCCTGTTAATATTTTCAGTATTCTAGTGCTTGGAAAGTTCTCCATGTTTGGTTGGTTGGCTGTTTTATTAATGGGCCCGGATTCAAGAATATATCGGAGCAGTTTCTGATCTGTGCTGAAATGTCTGCTGAGATCTCCTTGAGCAAACTGTAGTAAGACTAAATTTATGTGAATTCTTCCTCTGCAACAGCCCCTGCAGTAATTTACAGGCAGATGGTTGGCTCTTCCATCAGGATTTGTGCTGCCTTATAGAAATAAATAAACAAGCATGCATTTGACTTTAAAAACACACACAGAAAACCTATTGACAAAAGATTGCCTCTAACAAACCAAAACAAAACCCAAATCTCAAACCAAACAAAAAAGACAACAACCCAGCTGCTATGTAGCCATTCACTGCAGATGGGCAGGAGTTCTACAGGAGCAGAACTGAACCAAAACAGAAGGCACAGTGTCAGTTGCCCTCCAGGCTGATGTTCTCAGGGCACACCTGCACAGAGACAGGGCTGGATGTTATCTGAACTGTGAAATCTTCCTGCTCTTATCAGTGCCTTCCCTTTGAAGTCTTGGTCTTCCTTCAGGGACAGCTTTAGGGAATGGTACAGGATTTACCACTGTGAAGGTCATGGTAGGGGAAATGCCTATTTATTGAATACATTTATCTACTAACTTATTCCATATTTGTGTGTTGCTAGTGAGGGTGTAGTTCATTTGGACATGTGCTTAACTTAGTCCTTGTGTTTGCACCATGCTCCTTGCTGCTTGCCCTGGTGCACAGGCAGCTCATGCATTTCGTATTTTTCATCTGGGAAAATAATTTTTCACCACGTAACTGCTTTGTTACTAAGAACTAAGCTGTTAAGAGGCATTTGCTATTCAGTGATTCTTACCTGACCTTAGTGCTTTGATATGCTTTCTGAGCCCATTCCTATGAGCTCCTTTTTTTTAGTTTAAATGCTACTTGTGGCACAGGCCTACTCCAAACTGCAAACAGTGTTTTGGTTTTTACTTATGGAAACTTTAACTTTTTTTCCCAATACCTCTGTCTTTTTTCATCACTATGCCTACTAAGGTAAGCCTGTCAACCCTTTCTAGGAATGCACACATTATAGTGCATGTCCAACCTGAGTGGTCACAGGAACAAATTACTGTAATTTGCACTTTTTTTTTCACCTCTTTCTAATAATGTTTAACACCAAGGGTGATGACAGGAGAAAAAGGAGTCTTCTGTGCAGGAGGTCTGTGTTTCCAGGAAGGACTAAGGAGAGAGTAACAGGACTAAATGTGCCTGTGAAAATGCTGGCTGTCAAATGTGATCAGCATTTTTCATAACTGGAGCACAAAGACTTTCACAAGATTGCAATGAATGGCTTTTTGTGTCTCTTTATCTAATGAATTTATTGTGAATAATTGAAGTATATGTAAAGTCCTGGTTCTTAAAATTATTCTGGTATAAACGTACCTAACTATTTTTTTAATGCAGTTGTAATTTTTGTCTCCTAGTTTGGAAGGAAAGTTTGAAAATACCAGTATAAGCTTGTAAGTGTGAGAAGTTTTGGATCAGCAGTTTTCCATATTTCATTTCTTCAAGTCCTGGCTCAAAAAGGATTTTCACAGACTGGTGTTGAAATACAACCGAACTTTAAAATAACTAAACTCACCATGGCATCCTGTCTTTTGCAGAGTATCAGAGACATTTCCTGACCCTCCTTGCCTCCCCTTGGCCAAAATACCCCCCAGAAAATGAACCCCTACAAAACCCACAAAGAAATTGTAACAGTTCAGGCTTAGGGCTAGTTTGGCTAGAAACAAGGTGGGATCTACTGAATCAGTTTGTCAGGATTCTGTCCCTCACTAAATGCTATGAGATGATGGATGGCTTTTGGAAGAGACATCTACCTGTATTCCAGTTACTACATTTCATCAGCAATGCTGTGCAAAAATAGATCTGTAAGGTGCTTCAGGATGTCCTCAGTCCATGCTTCTGCCCAAGGCAGGCCCCTTGTCTTTCCTTAGAAACAGTTTTCTGTCCTAATCTTACAGGTCTGTAGTGGCAGAGATGCAAGTTTCCCTGGGTGATATATTGCAGACTTCACCATATTCCTGGTTTTTCATGAAGCTTGGTCTGAACTTTCTGTACAGTGGTTTTAGCCCATTTGTTTTAGTGCTATCCACAAGGCACAGCAGATTTTTTTGTGCAGAGAAAACTCTTTTTGTGCAGAAGCCTTTTATGTTACTCCCTAAAAGCACTGTGAGCATCTGAACAGCCTGGTGTGGAGAGGATTTCTGCTGCTCGAGGTGTTTTCTGAAGCAGGAAAACAGGAGGTAACATTCAGGGTATCGCCGGCCTGGGGCTATGTACAAATCACAGATGGGATGGGACTGCTGAGGAAGGTGTCTCGAGCTGTTCATTTGCCAGCATCAGCCTCCTTGCATGGCTATGACACTGGGAAAACGCCAGCAGCTCACATCCCAGGCAGCAGACAAAGCAGCCTACCTTTTACAAATTACTCAAAACCCTAATTTTAAAAATTCCTACACAGGGCAGTGAGGTGATGGATGTCCACTCTCATCCTGGAAAAAAAGAGCTAAACTTGTCACTGTGCCTCCATTTCTTGGCTGATAAAGTCACATTTGAGCGTTTTGTGTCCCAGCAAGGCTGAGCTGGCTAATTGTACCAGGATGAACTTGGCCCATTACATCTTTAGCTACTTTTATGCTCTTGATAATTTTATAGAAAGTCTTTCTTAGCAAGATCAGAGAGTCTGGCTCCCCTCAGACAAGTAATTTGTGTCTCAGAAGCAGTTCTAGTTCACATCTCCTGGACAGATGGAGTCCCAGTCTCTGACTGTGTTTCAGCTGTGCTAAAAACACTGTAAAGAATAAGGAGACAACAAAAACAGCCAGGAAGGGTGACAGAATATCCACTAAACGACAAGATGCAACCACAAACTCTCCAAATCGTCTTTGTTGTTTTAGCAGCTCAGAGGAGTGTGTATTCTCAGCTACGCCCCAGCAAATCCAGCACTTGTCAACCCACTTACACCCAGGGACTGAACAGAAAATCCCATTTCTCTGTTTCAGACTGTGAAGCTGTCCAGCCTCTTTGTGTGTTTATATTGAAAAACAGTGGTATTAATAACAGCAACTGTCCTTTTGATGCAACACTGAAAATACAGAAGTTATTCTAAAATTGTCATTCTGAATATTGTAATTTCTACTCACTGTCAGCCAGACTTAGAACACAAGTTGGTTTAGGATGCCCAGAATTAATTTGTGTTAAATATTTCTCTGTGAAAATGAAGCATGATCAAAAAAATGCAACATGCAGGCAAAGTCATGCAGTGTTACAGTTTTTTATAAGAATTTTTTAATGATTATTGATTTCTAGCTTTCAAGCTTACATTTATTACTGTAGCTTAATTAGTTAAGACTTTAGCCTTCAAAGGCAAAAAACCTAATCTCTTCCCAGTGATCCTAATCTAAGGTAAAATAAAAGATTGGTAATAGCACAGTTAATTCTGGGGATGCTGTTTTTGACTTAAGGGATGCTGCTTATCATTCAGTAAAGTTAAGAGTAATAAACATGCTCAGGTTTCAGATTTAGAATGCAGCAAAAAACCAATCACTCTCACAGCAACCTCTGTTAGTCCCTGAAGCTCAGAGATGAGGGCTTTGAGGGCTTTTAAGTTTGGTTATTTTCTGTGATTGCCTTTCTTAGTCATTTTTACAGCTGTGAAATAATAGTAGGTGATATCGGTGTGTCCAAAGAAGACTAAAGGGTCAGGGATTCAGGCTGTTCTGATGGAGATTTTAGTGGCTCCTAAGGGGTCTTCATTGCAGGAGAAAGGAGTTAGGGAGAAAATGAGAATTATGTGCTTGAGTTGGGAGTGAATGCAAGTTCCTCCTGACAAATAAAATTAATAAGGAATGGGAACATTGAGATACTTCATTACACCTAAATATGCTAAATTACTTGAAGGTAGAAAGAAGCAAGGAAAATAACCAACAAATTCCAGTCTGATGATATCCAGTTGGACTTTTAAAACTACTTATGGAAAATAGTCTTTTGTGATACATTTGAACTGTTTTTGAGTAGTTTTCTTTATGTACAAGACTTGATCTTTAGAAAAATAGGGCAGGATATTACAGTGGATCACAACCCTAGACAATAGAACAGGGACAGAATCTATCATTTTATAATCCTGAAGTGTACTAAATAACCATTTAAGTAAGAAAATAGTATGTTAAATTAGATTGTCACTGAGGTTGTACAGGAAAATAGAGTTTTAAACTTTTGGGCTATTCAGAACACAAGGGAGAAAACTGAGTGGGGAGTACTGGAATTGCTAAGCCTATCGGTTCAAAAATTTCTTGCTGCTGTTATGCTCTGAGGATGGATATAGATTTTGTGTCACACCCCTTTGAAACTAATGAAGCCTTGCTGTATGACAGCCATTGCAATGGGCCCGAATCTGCAGCTGAAATACAAAGTCATTTATTTCAATGAAGTATAAACACTTTTATTTTCAACAAAGTATTTTAAAAGCTGCAGAAAGTATTTATTTTGTTGAGGTACTATTTTGACAATTTTTTTCTGCAATTAAGCATTTTACTGTGAATTAAGATGAAACTTGCTTTTGAGATGTGAAGTTTGCTATGGAGTTAAGCGTGGTTTCTAAACTTTTTAGACATTCTCTAAAATCAGAGCTGGTTCCTGAAGGATTTCAAATTCTGAAAATCACAGGAAAGACAGCAGAGGAAACTGATCTGTTTGGGGGTGAAAAAGGATGAAGACTAGTTATTTTCTTATGGTTTGAGTGATACATGGAGGGTTACCTGAGGTCTTAGCAGACTCATATGTTAAAAGAAGTGTGAGCAGCTGAAAAATGTAAAACTGCTCTAGTTATCCCTCATCATTAAGATTGCAGTGGAAATCATAACTGCTTAGGTTCTTACAATTTCAGATAGAAATGAATGTTTTCTAATATGTATTGATATAAAATAAATTATTTTAAATAACTATGCTAGCAAGCATAACCCCAGTCTATGAAGATTTATGGTGAGACAGTTGAAGCAAACAGGAATGATACCCCAGGGCATTTTCTCTTCTTGTGTAGTTTGATTCTCTTCATTATTTGATATTCAAGAAGTAGTAAACTTGAGCTGCTCACTTCTGCTCTCCAGTGTGTGTGAAGAATCCAAAATCTGTACCCATCTTTAACTTCCAGTGCTGCAATAACAGGAGGAACCCTCAGAGGGAGGGGATGAAAGAGCAGAATGAGGTCTCAAAGGAACAAACTGAGCCAAATAATGGAAATTCCACTCTAATAATTTTCTTCGCACTTTCATTCCATCTGTGGTCCACCCATTAATTCAATTATATCTCTTTCCTTTACATAAATGATTTTCTTTTATGTGTGAGTTACTGTGTTGTCATGTTCCTAGGTGAATGATGATGAAAATCAAAAAGGATTGCTTGTAAAAGCATACAGCATTCTTTATACAGACTTAGAAAGGTAATTTATAATGCCAGGAAGTGTTAGTAATGCAGCAAGTGGAATTGGAATATTCACCACTTAAAAGTTTACTGCAACAAAAGTGGCACTGAAGGATTCCACCGTGCTTTAAAAATAAAATCAAAAGTCTTTAAAATGTTTTCCTCAGAACGGAACTACCTAAGTAAATGTAAAGTAGCAGGGACAAGCCACTTGTTGGTAATGGTTTCTAAATATTAAAAAAGTTTTAAAAGAGCAGCCTGAATAGGTAATTATTCTTTGGAGCTCCTTGTGCTTATTGGTCAATAATTCTCTTGCGGAAGGAATACATAAGAGCCCACACCTTTCTTTAAACCTGCTTCTTTCCACTCAACTGGAAAAAAACCATATTTTTCTGGACAGGAGCAAACACTCCTAATAGCCTGAAACTGCTGTTGATCCCTTTTCTTGCTAGGGCCACCTAAAAAATGCATGGGATGCTACTTTTATGAAGCAAGAAGAGGAAGGAGAAAATAAAGAATTCAAACTCTGGACAGGTGGTTTAGGTCACTGATTTTCTGCTCAATCTCCTGTTTCTAACTGTGTGAAATGGATCAAACCAATTTCTTCTGGCTTGTGGTTTCCTCCACTGTCCATTTTACTGTGTTTAGATTATTAAAAAACCTCTCCCAAGTGCTTTTATCTCAGTGACTGTGGAGCACTGTGCATCTCTGAGTGCAGCCCCAGCACAATGAAGATTTGCTATTCTCAGCTGTTTTCTGTTCCATAACCATTTATGGTACAGGTGTTTATATGGGATGTAACAGTGCCATCAGACTGGCACATAGGAATTTTCTTCAATAATTTGGAAACAACCTCTCCATTTATAAATTAAGTCCAATGCTTCTGTATTAAATGGACCAAGTCTTTATATTATTTTAAATGTTGTCTGATGTCAGGATGATTCTTGTTTCTCAGACTGAAAGGCACTGTAGAAGGGACAGTGGAGGCAATATTGGATTTATTTTTGTTTGTTGCCGCCATTGTAGGGGTGATGAACATAAACATAGTAGAGTTCAGAATCTTTTGAGAAAACAATATATCATTTGTGTTAGGTTTTTGCATTATCACACACTCTGCCACTCCCAGGCTCGACAGAGATTCTCCTCCTGCCCTGGTGGCAATCAGGGTGCTGCCCAGCAATTGACTCAGACCAGTTTAATCAAGGAGGACATTCTGGGCTGATCAAGTGATGAAAAATGGGCACCTGATCCCATCCACACAACTCCAGTCATCTCCTGAGAGTCGTGATCCTTTCCTTGGACAGCTGTGTGGTCCCACTCTGGGATTCTTGCTCTCTGCCTCTCCCCAGTGCCTTGTGTCAGTCTCAAGGGTTTTGTTGATTTGTCACCCCATTGCACAACACTGAGCTTGAGACATTCTGTGCTCACAGAAAACCGAGGAGGGCGTGAACAGACAAAATCTTGGTAGGTATGAAGTATAGACATATGTGTTATAGGCACTTATGATACACATTATTGTAAAACTTCTCTTGTGTAATAGCAGCTTTTGGACACAATTAAGCAGTGTATGCACTTCGCATCCGCACAAACACTTGCCTTGCACTGGGTTTGTAATAATGTATTTCATATCATAGCTCAGTTTCCCTCACTTACAGCACTGTATCTTATGTGAAGTTTAGAAAATTATACAAAGCTTGAGAGAAAAAGAACTATTTTGTGGAAGTGATTGGTTTTTAGTTAATCCATTGACTGGTACTCCAGTTAGTTGGTGTGCAATTACCATGGTGATATAAAGACTGCAAAACAATTACCTTTAAAAATGTAATTTTTAAATTTTTTTTGTTGTTGTTGTTTGTTTGTTTTTTAGAAATCATGATGTATTCTAACTTACTTGCTCTTTATATAAAGTTTAAAATAACAGAAAAATAATTTGGGTTAACAAATGTGAACAATTGCCAACCTGTTATAGGAATCCATCTCCATAAAAAAAACTATATTTAAATATAACTTATTTCCTTTAAAATTATTTAATTAATCAAACTTAAATTTCGTTTGAGCATTTGAAATTAACTTATTCCTATCAAATGACAAAGAAATTTAAGTAACTGTGATTCTGCAACAGTGGATATAATAATCTTAACATGTCAGGCCTAGTGTGTTTTGTTGTTGCTGAAAAGTTTTCAAGTCAGGTTGATCCCTTTTTTAACCAGCTGCTCAAAAAAATTCTGAAAGACTCATTGGTACTTGATTGATTTGTTAGTGCCTGTGACAGATTTAATGGATATTTCTGACAAGATTTCTGCTCCTTACTGCTGCCTGCCTTGGAGAGCTTCCAGGTGTGCTAATGAAAAAAAGTCATGAATGAAGACAGGAACAGTGAGCATTGTATTTGGTGTGGCATCCAAAGAACAGAAATTAAATATAACACTGTAATTAATAGGCATGCTAGAATTGAAAGCATGACACCAATTTATAATCAGCTTTCAGATGTTTTTGGACTAGAATACATTATTTAGGACAGCAAAGCTTCTACATCCCCCCTAGCAGCTTCTCTGGAGCTGGGAGCTGTTTCTGCATGGCCTCTTCTCCCAGGACTTCACCTCTGCAGCAGTTCACTAAAACTGGACACAGCAAAGGGCAAAATTCTGCAGCTCTGTTGGCTCAAATGGGTGTTTGCCCATTTCTGCCTCAGTGCTGTCCTTGTGTGTGGGGACTGGCTGCTGTGTGGGAGCTGCCTGCTAGAACAGCAGCATGAAAGGCAGTGGGAATCATGTGCAATGAAAGAGAAATCATGTGCCATAAAAAGCCCCATATGCTTTATGTAAAATTTTTGATTAAAAAGTGCTTCCTTGAATGGAATTTGCCCCAGCTGTTGCCATCTGTCAGTTTTTCAGAGCCCTTTAGAAAACACAACATTATTGATTTTGGTCCATCTCTCTGAGAGTGCTACTATAGGACATGCCACATATGGCAGGTTATCAGTGGTACTGCAGTAGCCAAGGGCTGCTGGGTGTGGGGCTGAGCTGATGGACTGAAAACAAAACAGTCCTTTGCTTTAATCTGCAAGATTGAAGTAGCAGACCCTGCCTACTGTTTACTGCAAAGTGCTTTTCTATGCTGCATGCGAAAGCAGAGAAATCACAGCTTTCTCCAGAGTCCCCACGTAATTCATTTTCTTGGTATGGTTTTACATACAGGAAAAAGTTAATTTGCTTAAAATGTTTCTTGCCAGTGACTGTGGCTTTATTGAGCAGAATTTTATATCTAGAAATAATCTCCCTTGTGCTGATTTATTTTTAAGTTTTTTATTTATCTTCATAGAAGAGAGGGAACAAACATTAGGGGACAAACACTTTCATGTATGTCTGTCCTGATGCTGTGACTGCAGGTGTAGAAGGAGTGGCCTGACTTCTTGAGAGGTGAAAAATAAAAAGGACAGTTTCTCAGACAGCAAGAGAATTTTTGAATTAAAAAACTTGAAAATAAATAATTCTGAAATGTATTTAATGTATTCAAATGTATTAATTAAACCCTTAAGTCAGAAATCTATAGACCATCTCAGAATACATTTTTAATTATTTTGCCATGTCTTAAGCTGCCTCAGCACATGGAGGCTTGCTGAGGTTTGGAATAACACTGGAGGAGGGGTATTAGATAAACAGGTGAGGCATCTGGAGACACAGCCTGTGTACATTTTGGGTTTTCAGCATAACTTTCTGGAAGGACAATACTGTCATGCTGCAGCTAAGGTAGTGCTTAAATTTGCATTGTCATTAAACTTAATCTGAATTTTCAGAAACATTTTGCTCATGGCGCAATTTCTGTATGAATTGGTCTGTGACTCAGAATAAGGAACTGAAGTATAGCTACTTTGCTTAAATAGCATACATTGTTTAAAATAACATACAGTTTCCTAGCAGTTTTTCAAACTGCTGTACTGAAGATTAAGTTAGTTCTTACACTCAGCCTTGAAACTGACTCTTAATTGTAGGAGATACTGACTTATCTTGAGATTGCAAGTTTAAATCATATATAAATAACATCAAATATTTACTAGTTTGTTCTGGGATACTTTTATTATGAAAATGGGAGATTTTTAACTCTGTTCCTATGATAAAGATGTAAAAATCCAAACATCAGAAGATAAGTGAATGTAGATTTAAAACATGAAAGTTTGGCTTTGAATGAAAAAAGAGAAAGCTGAGTCATTGTTTCCTAAAACTGATGAGAAGTAATTTAAGGTGCTGAAATAAGCATCTGAAAAAAGTAGATGTTACAATTAACTTTGAGATTGATAAGTCAGTAGATAAAATCTAGGAAACAGAAGCCAGAATTTACAGAAAGGAGAGACATGCTGAGCATTCCAGGTAGTCCTGTGATTGCTACAGTCATAATATTTCTTCTGAGTTTGTATTCATCTAATCTGAAGAATGTTCAGATCGAATAATATTTTGCATATGAAGAAAGAAGTGCTATCGTTCACTATGGTTCATTGAAACTCTGTTGGGTGTGTGATATTGCACTGTGGTTTTCTGCTTTCTGAGCACACCAAAGCCGCTCTCGTTGTGCTGGCTCTTTAGTTGCCACTTGAGTAAAACCAGGCTTTTTAGGAGGTTTGCATTGGTCAGAATCAATCAATTTTTTATCTAAAAAATTGAAAACAAAATAAGTAACTTACCACACTTCAGGAGGGTGCTCAGAGCACAAAACTAGGGCACAGGAATGAATATTTCAGTGTTCTGCGCTTAAGCCACTCCGTGCTGTTTTGCTAATGACAATGGAAACAACTGATAAAAGGAGGGGAAGAGAGAAGTGTTCCCTTTCTTCCATTAGTTGTCAGCAAATACCTGAATTGACTAAGGCTGTGATCTGATAGCTGGTGTTTCCACCTCACCTGGCAGCCAGTTTATCCACACACTCAGTTAATTTTTTTCTTAAGATTATAAATTCATAGAATTTCTTCTTTAATCCAGAGTATGTGTATAAAATTCTTCTTAGAAGGAATTAGAGCCCAGAGGCCTTCAGAAATCAGTATTTAATTCTTTCATCTGACACAGATTTTGGGCAGTCAGTTAAGAAGTGCCCAGGTTGATTACCCTTCATCATTGGGTGTACAACAACATCAGTGAACATCAGTGGAGGAAATCTGTTGAAATAAATATTCTGATATTAATATAATTGCTGTTGTTCATGTTCCCTGTACAGCCATGATGACTATAATGTATACAATACTTCCTCTTTCATATTCCAACATTCGTCTGAACTTCTACTTCCTTGCCTTTCCTTTTGGTTTGGAAAGGTGGCCTCTCCCATTTTCTAAAGCATACTTGCTTCAGTTTTAGGGCCTTGTCCAAACTGGTCAAAGTACAAGATGTATGTGTATATTCGTCTCCTTGAAGGAAAAATTCTTAGCAACTTAAAACCCGCAAGAGTGTTTCATTTTATTTACATTGGACATTCAAAAGACATAGATCAGTCCTGAGAGGGAGCTGTTTGCCTCTCATGGCTTATTGCAAATTCTTTAATTGTCTAATTTGATAAGCATTTAAGTTTAGATTTCTTGCCATTTTGTTTATCACAGTCTGTACTTCAAATAGAAATTAAAGACAAAATTCTCATGTGCTTTTGTTTCTCAAATTATTCCAGGTCATCAGTGCATTAGGTCAAGAAAATGCAAACTGCAGTGCTGGGCCTCAGCCCTTCCTGCAGGGGACAGAGAATTCTCAGCTCTTCATTATTTGTGCACTTCAACAGATATATCCAAGAGATTATACACAAAAGCTTTGTATTTCTCTCTCTGTTTCTAAGTGGTCTTAACCACAGGCAATGGAAGTACAGTTTTCATTTATTTGTAGGTTTTTAAACTTAATTGGAAGTTGCCTTTTCTGCTGTGCCACAAATAAATGTGTGTGTTTATGGTCTGGTTCTTGTCTCTTATTTCTCCTGCCACACAGTACTGCAATTGTCACGGGAATTCTGAACTAATAATGATCTCATCACTGACATTAGCACCTTTGACTTGCACTGACACACGTCTGTGACGTGTGTCAGGGCTGCACCTATTGGCAGCTTCTGCTTTCTGCTGCTTCCTTCTGAATGTTTTTCAGAAAGGGAAAATAAAAAGCTTTTCATTGAGACACTCTATTTATTCTTGGAATAAATATTATTATTTATTATTATTATTGGAATAGTCCAGACACCATTTGTGCACTTAATAGATGAGCTCTGGTTTATTAAGAAAATGGACACCATTAGTTTGAAATAAGTCAGATTTTCATCTGACTTACAATGAGTTCTCATTACTCTGCTAAAAGACTGAAGGCAATATGAGTCTGGCCATACATGGGTCCCAACAATTCTTTTCTCATTTACTGTCCCTTCTATATCAAGAAAGTAGCTTTGTTTTAAAAAGCCCTTTTGAATATATTTGTGATAGTCAGAAAATTATTAATGGCTTCACATTTACTATATGATTGACAAGTTTAATAGGCTACATTCTGTGATGTCAGTGAATGCTTTTTCTTTCAGAGACAAGCATAGGAAATGTGTATTTTAAAATTTATTCTTGTTAATAGATCTGATTGCTTCAAAGAGTGGGCAGCTGCAATACCTCAGTTCTGAGGCTAATTAAATAACGTCTCTTGGTTTCCAATGGGAAGCAATTGCTTCCCTGATAAATAAAACAGTTTTCATGTTTTAGACACTAATGAGGGAAACCTGATAATGATAAAATATGTCAGTGTTCTTTTTTGTCTGTGTGAACTGTGTGACACAAGATAGTGCTATTTAGGGAAAACTGACCATCCACCTGCTACAGGGAAACAGCAAAAGCCAAGAATTCTGTCTGAGCCAAAACTCCCAACCACCTTCCGTCCCTCTCTGGTTTTTTGGAATAGCAGTGCATCTTTTATTTCATTATTATAGCCATGTTATTGCAGCAAATAAATTACTGTTAGATCTGAAAATATCAAAAGTGTAATGGATTTAAAATTATACATACAGAATTAAATATTAAAGAGCTGTTTGAACCCGCTTCTCTGTTAATGATGACTCAAGTCCTGATCTACTTTTCATCTCTTTCAGTGAAATGCTGACAGCACTTCCTTGGCTTTTTTCCCAGCCTCCCCTGTAAAAATGCTATAATTCTAATGTCTACCCTTCCTGTGCTCAGCAAAATAAGGACTAATCTTCCTGATGGACCTTTCTTCTTAATTTCTAGCCCTTGAACAAGTAAAAAATTGACTATCAAACAAAATCCAGTTACATATGAAGTAATCAACTACTGCAGAAAAACAGTCAATCTTTATCATTGCCAGAAGACCAGAATCTTCAGTGTGGCTGAAAATGAGCAAAAGTAATAGTAAAAGAGAAATAACCGTTTTGGGAGGTTTTTTTGTTTTTTTTTTTTTTTTTCCCACTCTGTATTTTCTTCTCATGACTGATTACTAATTCTAAGTGTGCAACCATCTGCTGCAGCCAGCAGTAATATCCAATAAACTCTGAGCTGGGATTTGCATCAGGATGAGTGGCAACTGCATGGCATGGCAATCTTGGGCACTGTAAATGAAATACTTCTCCTGGTTTGGAAGTTCATTGTTCACTGTAGAAATCACTATTTAAGTGCTTAGCTCAACCCTCTGGAGCACACAGGGACAGAGTTCTTCCCAAAGACTCAGCTTGTGCAAAAAGTTTATTTGTACATCAGAGTCCTCCAAGACACCCGGGCTGAAATTTGCAGGAGTAGATACTCTTCCCTGCTGCTAAAGATTTACCCCACATGTTGAGGAATTGCTTTTGATAGAACCTCAAGACTACAGTACCAAAGTACCTAAGGGAATCAGAACAAATACTTATTCCAAGCTATGAAAATTGAGGAGGAATAGGAGAAGAAGGTCCTGTAGAACAGGGATTTCCCAGGGTTTTGAAGGGGGTGCGGTAGTGAAACTGCTGTTTTTTTGTTTTTTTTTTTCCCTTTTAGAAATATCTTCTTATAGACCTATTGAGCCAGCTGTGAGGGATGACTCAAGAGTCAAATAGTCCTTTACATGTATTCTGGGATGCTTCTGTGGGAGTTTGACTGTAAATTTAAGAAGCACATCTCTATTACATCCCTAAAGAAATGCAATGTTTTCACAGTGGAAATGCCATGTCATTGCTGGTTCTTTCTCCTGGATTCTTCTTGGTGCTGAAACCAACTGTAATGATGCTTGATTGCTTTGGTGGTGGTGGTGATGATCCTTCTACCAATCCAAAAGGAAGTGATTTTGGAAGTGCTCTCTCTCCCAGCTCTCAGGCTGAGAACCCCCCTAGTCCTTGGGTATGGAAGACAAGCAGGATTTCACTGGAGAGCAGTGGTTTGTGCCACGGGCACTTGAGGAGGCAGCAATAACTCAGTGCAGGGAGTGGAATTGTCCCAAGGGAAGACTCTAAGCATCATCAGAGGAAAATGCAGCAGTCTCTGCTTATGGGCAGCTTCTGCTTTCAGTTTCTTCTGTTTAAACTTCACTGTTCCTTTTAGGATGAAAAGTTCCCTGAGTTCCTCATACCATATTTTTTAATTTCCTTCAACAGTCCTGTGAACTTGGATGTGAATTTGTAATGTCCAGGGTGCTTCCTATACCTCACACTGCTTCAAATAACCTATTTCTATTGGCTATTGTATCATTTTTGCCTGAACATAAAACCACTTACTTGGTTTGTAATGTTCTTTATCTCCCTTAATTTTCATAAGTATAAAATATTTCCCCAAGCATTATGAAAAGATTAAAATTCAATTTGAGTACTGAATTATGCATGGTTTTCATTTTGGCAATACTCTAAGAATTTTTTGTTTCCCAGCTTTTTAGTGTTATAAGAAAATATCTACTATCAAATGTATTTTTAATAGATATTTCCTGGTATTAGATGACACAGTTGACATTTAATCCATTCTACAAAGATGTCTAAATATTTCATTTTTATAATTCATAGCAGCCAATCTTTTTGATAAATTGAATGCTTCTATTTATGGCTATGATTTGCAGGGAGCAAGCATATAAACAAAATTACTTCCAGGAGGAAGAAAATCAGTTCAGTTAATTATTTTACTTAACTGCTCATGGCAATATCTATCAAGCTGCCAACATAGGAAAAGAACCATCAGCAGAATAAACCCTGCAAAGTAGTAATCAAAATTCAGTACGATTAGCATTCTTAATTTGAATAAGGAATAGGATCCTGAAGATATCCCATGCTGCTGGAAATAAGTGAGTAATGGATAATAATAAAAGCCTTAAAACAGAAGAGAAGCTTTAAACACCCAGAGTTTTGCTCTACCATTTTTTATCTTTCAGTGTCTTAATTGAAATTACAGATGTCATTGTAGGTTGGTCTTTCTTTTCTAAATATTCATGTAGATATATAAATGAATGTTCACAACACATTGGAATGACTTTGCTGGAATTAAAAAATGCCAAAGCTTGAGATGCTGATTTCTTTGCTTTTATTCTTAGATCTTCATAGTTCTTTACCTGGAGACCTTTCAGGAGCTGGCAAGCTGAGGTTCCTTATTTCTTGAAAGGTACCAAGGAGAATACTTTAAACATACTACTTTTCTTTCTCTTTTGTTTTAAAGTGACATTTGCACACAGCCAATAAACTTTGTAACTACGTATAATCTTATGTAACCTTATCTTGACCTTCTCAGGCATGTAGAGAATCAAGTGAATTTCACTTACTTGAACTTGGTTCTCTAGGGACTCTCAGCATTAGCTCTTTTTATACCTATTTGCCTAAAATGCTTTCAGGAATTATTAGTGTTTAAATGTGTGTATTCATTCTTGCTATAAATTTGACAGAGCAAATTTTACTGGCTTTATTGGTTCATAATTTTAGCTTTATGTACAGAACGTGTGAAGCAATACAGATGGATTTACAACTAAACACATTCATCTTCATGAAACGTGTAGCTGAGGTCCTTAACTCTAGGATATTTCTGAACATTCACATAAATGCTTTCATTAAGTAATCAATAGCATTGAGTATTTTTGCATAAACCATATGGATGAGAGATGTTAAAAAGTAACAGGGATTATAAATCCATTTTGTCATTTCTCAGAGTATTAAGTGCTTCAATACAAAATAAAGGTATATAACTGTGCATACGTTTAAGAACTGATAGCTATAATATTAATACACTCTAGACATGTTTTAGTAATCCAGAAATAATTTTTTGGTTATTGAGTTTAGTTAGAAACCTGCAGGTTTTGACCCACTGTTGGTGAATTTATATCATATGTAATAAAAATACTTTAAATCAGTCAACTGCTTTATACTTATACAAAAATAATTTTTCCCTTTTGTGTTAAATAAAGGTTTCCTTCTTCTGTAACTGTTTTGTTGCCTAAAGGTCTAAAACATTGAATTAAAATGCTTCGTGTTGTAGTTCAATCAAAAATATGCTGGTTGCAAAGGATTTCAGAGTTGGCCACAAATGAGCAGGTTATAAAATAATCAGTTACAGTAATCTGTGAAAATGGTACTTCGTTGTTATTGGAAAAATAAAATCCAATTCCAAATTTTATGCAATTATTTCAGAGCTGCATAAATTAGGAATTGCTCAGTGGCTTAAGTTAGAAGCAAAAAGCCAGTTTGTGGGAGTGGAAAAGTAATGAAATCAAAAACAGGTGAGAAGATTGTGATCGGGACTGTTGTGTTGTTGTTATCACAAAGTTTTATTGATGAATGCATCTTCCTACAAACAGTTCTGGGAGTGCAGTGAATTGTTCACAGAATAAAATACTCACCAGAAGTGGCAAAGGTTCTCCTTTGTTGTGCATGTCCTTTGTGGCACTTGGCTGAAATACCAGCATGTACAAAGAAAACAGATTCCAGCATGCTCATGTTTGGAATCGGGTAAATCTTTTCATAAAGACAAGCAAATAGAACCAGTTAAGCATTCCTGATTCCACCAAACTCATTTAATTACCAGGACTTTAATTGAGAGGAGTGTACAGAACATGACCTGGAGGTGCAAGCATCCTGTTGAAATTCCCACTGGACTTGAATCTCAAGGGTAACTTTGCTCCTTCTTGCCGTACAACTCATGTCCAACTTTCATATGCCTGAAAATTAACTCTGGTTTCAAGATCATAAATTATGAAATGCCTGTGCTGCTCCTCATGCAGGCCACTGGTTCCACTAGCTGAACCTTCCTTGGCCCCATCCTTGCCTGTTATTTGATGATCTTAGGCCAAGAAAAAGTCCCTTGGCTGCTGTTCAAAGGGGCTTTAAATGAATGAAATGTGGTTTGGCTTGTAGGATCAAATCTTCTCACTTTTGACTCTCTCAAAATAATTTTCACCAAGAAGATAAAACATGAAAAGACATCTTTTAATAATTGAATTTTACATCTATTATACCTTTCCTTGTGTGTTGTAAGCATGGGGATTCCTGGCTTCTTGCTATGTCCATTATTTATTTGCAGCTCTTTTCTGTGCACACACACAGAGTCATGCTAGACTGTAGGAAGCATGGGCAGAGATCCCAAAGGAGAGACCTTAGAAGGAATTCAAGTTATTTGATCTTTTGAAGAGAGGACTGCGGGAACAAAGGAGTTTTCAGGTGCATGAAAGGGTTGATAAGAGGAAGGTTGGAATGTCCTTCTCTGCTTGTCAGGACTAGAACAAAGAGTAGAACTTTGAAATTACAGCAAGAGAACTTCTGATCCATTGCTATTCATTTTTATTTTGTGAGATCCTATGGTGTGCTAACAATCATTAACTATCAGACTAGTGGAGTTTAGCATTTCTATCATTAGAAACTTTTAAATAGATGTTGAAAAAGGTTTGGGTTAAAATATATTTGCTTAGAGATACAGTTGGAGTAAATAGTTCCTTATTACCCCTTTCAGTCAGCTTCTGGTTATTTTATGAAGGATTTGAAATCCACCCTGTTAAAGCATTAAAAGCATACGGCAGGGAGTCTCCAGTGTGGTGTCAAGCAATGCAATTTCCATGACAAGAACAGAACAGAAATAGCAGTTTGAAGTCTTGCTGTTTTAGCAAGCTTTTTTTCATGGAAAATGTTTTCAGTACATCACAAGAATATAATTACTGCACCCTTCTCTCAGTTTTGTTTCCAGTTTCCCAGATAACACACAGCCTAAAATGTAAAGCATTAAGAAACACTGTTTGGATATTTTAACATCTAATTGATTGTCCTTAAGATGGATACTATTCTTCTGGTTTAGAAGTTTATAAAATGTCATTCATGTCTCCACCTATACTTTTTTTTTTCCGGTGGGTAATCTAATTTTAATGTAACTGTCTTCTGTTTTGTTTGTTGTGTTGGTCCTGTTTTGTCATTCTGTAAGAAGAGCTGTTAATCTGTGTTTTTGAGGAGCCCATATTTTGAAGAAAACCAGCCTGGAATACTTTAGCCAAATAGAAATGTCTTTTCTTTGCAACTTAGAAATTAAAATCTCTTAACCTGCATAAGCATATTCAGTAACACAGTACACACCTTGAACATTAAGTTTTGCCTAGGTTTTCCAAAAGTAAATGTTGTGCTTACTGTTGATTCCCTGATACTAAAACTATGGCTGGTGAGTGCTCTGTGCTGTGTGCAAGGGAAAGCCCAGGTATGCCCCCAAATTCTTGACTGTGACTGAGATATAGTTTTCTTTGGTAGCTTTGGATCCTTCTCAGGTACAGTCGGTTAAATCTGGTGAGGTCTTTACAGATTAGAAAGGTCTGGAGTTTATCAGTATTCAGAAAGAGGCTTCTGGCAGTGTGCTTAGTGCCTTGTGTAACTGAGCACATCAACTTCACTGGGTTTATTTTTCAAGAGTCAGAATCTTTAAATGTCTTTATTTTTAGGTCTTCCAAAGTCAGAACACCTTGGTATCCTTTTTCAAAGGTGTTGTATTTGCTGCTGGCCCTCTGGGTCTCCACATGTTTAGGATGAGTTTTTTTCTGAGGGGTAGAATGATAGTTCTCTGCCAAAGGAGGCACTGGGTTATAGTACTGGATGTGAGCACTTCAACTTTACAAGTCAGTTCATGATTGGCATTTATTCCGCAAAGCTTTTTTTTCCCTTTCCTTTTTGTGCAATAAAGAATGATGCTCCATGTAGAGGCAAGAATTTCTGCCAATAGCAAAGAACTCAGCCTGACATCAGGGCATCTATATGTCTGCCCTAATTCCGATTTACTCTTACATTTTCTCTCTTAATTTGAGCAATTGTAGTACAATTATTGTAGTACAGGTATCTCTTGCCTTGGTGACCAAAGTGTCCATCATTTGGTGACAAAATGGATTGCATTTGCAATTCCTGCTCTGAGCATTTTTCAGGAAATGAGAGGGTGGGCAGGGAGATGCAAGAAATGTCCAGCCACACGTCTCTACAGTATCAGTTTGCATTTCAATCAGCTCTTTTGAAAATTGGTAGTTGTTGAGGGCTGAGTGTTTATTTTTTTCAAGACACAAACCAATTTTTGTGTGCTGTTGAAAATTTCTGTGCTGCAAAGAGGAGGATGATTCCTTCTTAGTATGTGCTGAGACTTGGTGAGGAACAGAGCAAGGTTCAAACAGATCCTGCCAGAATCACAAGTGGTTACTCTGCAGGATTTAAGGACTATTAAGACAAAAGACTATAGACTCTGTAACAGGGATGGCAACTAGTACCTGGCAGTTCTGGAATTTTTCACATTTATCTGGACTTGAGAGAATGGGATTTGCATTACTGCATTTGATTAGAAGAAGTTTCTGAGTTATATGTTATGTTTATTTTAGGCATGTTTCCCTACAAGCCAGACCACATTTAACTGGAGGTGGCTGATGGAAGAGGAGAAATGCACAGGGAGTGATGAATAAGGGCTGGCTCGATGTTGCACTGAGCTGCTGTTGGAAGGCAAACACTGAGCAATTAAAGAGCTAATGCAGTATGGTAAGAAACTGAGTCATTTTAAGGACAGGGCTCAGTGTAAGGCATGCAGAGGGAGCACAGCAGTGAATTGCTGGTGCCATGAGAAGCCCTGTAAACCACTCCAGGAGGCATAAACTTTCAGGTTCAGGTCCAGGTTCAGAAATCGCCCAGGATATTTCCTGACCTTTTCAGTGGCTGTAGCTAAGTATAAGAGTCTCAGGCTTTGTTAGTGTGACTTGAATAGGTGTGCATTATTCAGACATGTAATTACCTCTTAATTGTAGCTAAAGTAATTTCCTATGAATAGACTTAAATAATTCCTTTAATAATGTTCAATTTTCTGTTCTTTTATGTTGTCTTATACTTCAGATATATATTTTTGCTAACATTCACAATTTTTCTTAACTCTTCCTGAAAGTAATTGATATTAATTGGGGAGTTGATTAGATTTTCATTATGATTATGCAAGGGTTTAATCTTTCTGACAGCTGTTAGCCAACCCAGTTGCTTGTAAGTTATAATGCATTAGAAATCCCTGGCTCAGAAACTTTTACGTATTTTATACAAGGGAAAAAAAGAGCAGCATTTCTTCTGTATATAGTAAATAGCGAGGCTACTTTCCCCTGGGAGCTCCACTTACATGATGGTGGTTGGCTGAATATTCACATCTGATTTAGTAAATAAGTGGATGATAACAATCAGGATGCTGCTGCTTGAGTAATGAGATTCTGATGACTACCAGCTCCCTGATGAGAAATACTTCAGAACTATTAAGTGCTGTAAGATTCATGACATGGGAAGAGTGCAGTGAGCCCTTAGTATTTAAAAATTGTAGTAATTGTTTTTCATAGGTTTTTATTTTTATTCCAATAAATAAGTTTATTTGCTTTCTCTGTAGTTGTGCAGTTTTTAAATTTCTGAGTTCAAGGATTGCCTTTTTGTGTTCGTCTTATCATTGGTAAAGACATAAGCCATAGGGTTTCTGTATAGAGGGTGGGGGATCATGGCAAGGGTGTTTGGCATTGGCCAACCCTGCAGCAGATCCATATATCACAGCTGCTTCAGCAGTTTCACACATTCCCTAAGATTTTTGTTTCTCCTAGTGACCTTTCTACAGAGAGTGGGTACATTCATATAAACATTTCCATAGAGGCATACTTTACAATGTTACCAAAATTAAATATTTGATTCTGTGCAGCCAGCACTAGTGCTTGATTTAGCCGTTCCTTCTTCATCAAGGCTGTTTATTCAACGAATAGCCAATTTTAAAATACACTTTTAAAGAATAAATGGCAGAGATGGTGATTGTTATATATTCTGCTTATCTATAATTTATCATTAGAATGCTGCATTGTAACAACTATTGAGACCTAATCCTTTGTAATCTATGTTTTAGGTTTGCCACTGAATTTTTTACTACGTTCTTCATATCTGCTAAGCCAAATTTTTCACTATCACATCTTTTGAATGTTAGGATCCTCCTTAATTTGCTAGACACTTGGAACAGAAACAAGCTAAGTGAGAGAGTCCACTTGTAGAAAAAAAAGTTGGTATGATAATTCTGTTTAAATAATAACTTGTCATTAAAATTATTTCATGCTTTATAATTTGCTGAAATAGAGAACTTAAAGTGGTCTTATGAGGAACAGCTATTGTTAACAAGGACTGTCAGCTGCCTTTATGAATTTTTGAAGCCTTGCTGATATGGCAGCAGATGAGTTCAGTGGAGTTTAATTAATTTGGAAAAAGTATTAAATTATTTTCTATGATATTATGAAATCAATATGAGTATTTAATTCATTTTAAATTCAAAAATTAATAAAAATACAAATGAGAAGATTGGTGGGTTCTGCCGTATTTTTAGACTTCATGACTTTACATTAGGCTGGGCA